CACCACCACAGGCACAGCGACGGTAAAGAGGACCCGCACAGCCCGGTGCAGTGCGGCGTCGCATACGCCTACCTCGGTTGGCTGTTCGACCGGCACAACTTCCGGACCAGAGTCGAACACATGAGGGACTGGCAGGCGGACGCGCCGGAACTCTTTGCGCTCGAGCTGCTCGCGGCCGGAGAGGCGCAGGATGTCGTGGACGCGACCCTCCTCCGCCCGGCGCGCGCGCTGGCCGCGTGGTGGTTCGTCGACCCGACCGACTTCGTGGTCCACCGCTTCGGCGACATGGCGAGGGACGCCGCCTCGGCGGGAGGCGCCTTCGCGGTGCAGATGAACCTGCTCTTCAACGCCTATGCGCACGACGAGCACCGCGCGGACCACGCGGGGCGGGGCGGGGCGGCGTGGGACATCCCGGCGCGCTGGTTCGGGCTGCTGTCCAGCGGCGAGGCACACCACGCCCGCCACCACCTGCACCCGACGCTCGCCTGCAACTCGCCGCACGGCGCGCAGGAGGACTGGGTCTTCGGCGCGATTTTGCTGCTCGAGCGGTGCGGGCTGGTGTGGGAAGTGCGCAGACGGCCAAAGACTGAGTAGATTCTAGATAGAGTCGGTGAGTCGACAGAGTAGCACATATGTGTGTGTTCGCCGTGTCCGATGTCCGAATATATCGAATATGCCCGTGATGCGTGAGCGTAAGCCGTATATCTTAGGGTATCCCTAGGATTAAAAGGGTGGGCCCTGGGGCGCCTGCGGCTTAAACGGCTTAAAACCTGCCATGGCAGGTTTTAAGAGCTGCTGGGCCGCCGATTCCTTAAACGGTCTTAAACGCTTAATTAAAAAACGGTGCGGGAGAGCTCTTAGGGGACCCCTAGGCTTAAAAGGGTGGGCCCTGGGGCGCCTGCGGCTTAAACGGCTTAAAACTTGCCATGGCAAGTTTTAAGAGCTGCTGGGCCGCCAATTCCTTAAACGGTCTTAAACGCTTAAACGGTGCGGGAGAGCTCCCGAGGTCGATGGTCCGGGAGGCTCCCGGTAGACGCCGGAGGCCGGGAAGCTCTCTGGGGGGGCGCGGGGGCCCTAGAGGGTATCCATGCGGGGGGGCGATGGGGTCCCATGGCCCGCCGCAGGCGCCGATTTTTTCGGTTTTTTTGCGCGATTTTTCACTTTTTCATGGGAATTCGGCGTACTTGCGGCCATGCTATCACGCCTTGCGACAGCCTGTCGGCGCTGCTGACCGTGCCATGCTGCACAATTGATCACCTGCATAGCTCGCGGCCTTAGTATCAAGCATTCAGTGACGACCTGATCGTACGGCCAGTCGGAAGGTGTCCTTCCAACGTGTGCACGCTTCTGACGCAATGCGCGTCGCCTCGGATTGGCTGCTGGCACTCTCGAGGCTATGCCTACACAGCCTCGCGCGCAGGGCAGTCAAGAGGGACCACGCACCTTCTCAGGACAGCACCAGTGCCTCTCTCTTGGACCGGCAAACGTGGTGGTCTCGTGTTACCAATGTGGGACCAGTGCGGCATCGCGCCATCGACAGCTCTGAACTGCGCCTCACCACTGACCGGGAAGGCCGCCAAGTGGGCCAGCACCGGTCGCACATTGTGGCAGCAGTCAGCAGTGCATGTCTGATAGCTAGAGCAGCAGCGTCAGGGTCTCGCAGGGTCGGATCGTGTCAAGCCTCTCGCCCGGCCGGCCGTGTGCAGACGTCGGCCTGTCTGCTGTCTGGAGTGATCTGTCGGCGGTCAGTACGACCAATCAGGTCGGAGTTTTCTGATGGTTGGAGGGTCTATCTGTATGTACTCCTCGAGATCTCTCCAAATCTGCCCTCTGATTAACCTAGCTTAATCGGGAAGTCGGTGCTAGTGGAGACTAGTGGAGCCGGGGCCCCGTTTCCGCACTGCGGCGCGGCGCACGGTGCCTCCGGGGGCCCCCGCGCCCCCCCAGAGGGGAAGCTGGCTACAGTCAGCTAGCACGCGTCCCCTATGCGAGTATGGCTGCTGCCAGTGCACCAGACTTACAGATGTGTCTTCAGAGGCGGGTTTGTGCCTAATAACAGCAGTATTGGAGAAAACGGCGCGGAACCCAGCGACGCATGCCGGCGAGGCCGATTTTCTTAAACGGTCTTAAAAGAGGGACCCCCCGTGCCTGCAATCTCTTAAATGGCAATTTCAGCCCCTAAACCTCCTCGTTTCTTAAAAGGTCTTAAAAAAATCCGGCCCTCAGAACCCTAGGGGTCCCCTAAGGGAGAGCTCCCGAGGTCGATCGTCGATGGTCCGGGAGGCTCCCCGGTAGACGCCGGAGGCCGGGAAGCTGGCTACAGTCAGCTGGCACGCGTCCCCTATGCGAGTATGGCTCCTGCCAGTGCACCAGACTTACAGATGTGTCTTCAGTGGCGGGTTTGTGCCTAATAACGGCAGTATTGGAGAAACCGGCGCGGACCGCGAGCGACGCGTGCCGGTGAGGCCGATTTTCTTAAACGGACTTAAAAGAGGGACCCCCCGTGTCTTAAACGACAATTTGAGCCCCCAAACCTCCTCATTTTCTTAAAAGGTCTTAAAACAATCCGGCCCTCAGAACCCTAGGGGTACCCTCTAAGCCGTGTATATGTGCCTAACGGAGGCTAACGGGCCCCATATCCTTTACGCCGTATTTAGGTGTCGCATGTCGCATGCGTTCTTGTGCTCTCTAGTGAGAGAGAGCCGTGTATGAGATCGCGTAGTCCGTTGGCTATCCACTCTACACGTTACGTCCAAATCCCTTTCCAACTACCCACAAGTGTTCCCCAACCAGCAACCATCCAATCACATGGACATGGGCCCACTGCCCACACCGTTGGCGCATGTCTCAGCACTCAGGGACCGCGTGGAGACGTACATACGGCTTTAGGTGTCTCAACGCTCATGCCGCCGTCGCTACGCATGAGCCGTCAGCCGTCGACGCACGCACGGTCAGGTCAAGTGGCAGGTCCCCCTGCGCCCTGGCGCTTCACAGAGCTCCTCCACTCGCACTAGCGAGCGCGCCTCTCCCGACCGCCCCGCGCTCGCATCCTAGGTCCCGCCCCCACAGGAGAGAGACTCTGCCGCCTCTTGGCCCCGTCGCGCTAGCTGGCTCGCGCACTCGCACTTGTCCTTCACCGCGCCAGTCTTCAGGCCGGCGCGACGCGAACGTCCCTGGCGAGGCCGTACGTGGTGGCGCCACCAGCCCCCGCCGCGGGGAGGGCCGTGGCCGAGGCCGCGGAAGGCACCGCCGCCGTGGAGAGCGGGCAGCTGGGGGCGGCGTACGGAGCTGCGTAGACGGTCGAAACGCACGAGCGGACGATTGGGTCGGCGGAGCGGGCGGCCCCGGTGCGCGTCACCTTGTGCCAGTTCCACGGGAGGACGACCGCGCCCCCGTGGGTCTTGCGGGAGAGGTGGACGTAGCCGGCGAGCAGGGCGGCGACGAGGAGGAGGGAGACGACGAGCGCGGCGACGTTGACACCGCCGCCCGACTTGTCCACGGGGTACGGCACACACACGTACACATCATTATTGTTGCGGTGCCTCCTCGAAGGCCTGCCTCCTCCTCCTCCTCCTCCTCCTCCTCCTCCTCCTCCTCCTCCTCCTCCGGGGAGTGTGTCGTCGCAGTTGTTGAGGTGCACGTCGGTGCCGCACTCGCCGTCCGCCTCGCACATCTCGCCCTCGGTCACCTACAAAACAACTCGGCTGCTGCACCAGTTGACGCGTCCGCCTCCCGCGCCTCTCGCCCTCGGTCACGTTGTCGCAGGTTGGCATCGCAAAGAGCTGCTCGGGCGTCGGACACTTGCTCAAATCGGTGAGCGGCTCGAGGCAGGCGCCGCACTTGAGATTGGCGTCGCCGTCCCCGCGGTGGCCCCAGCCGGCCTTGTCGTGCTCGTGGTGCTTGACGTCGGCGCCGGGGCTGTCGACAGGGCTGGTGAAGCGCGGCCCGCCCGGGCAGTCGAGGGTGGTGTCGCCCGGCTTGAGCCTGGTGTCGCGCGCGGGCGGCGTGCCTCCGGGAGGGACGAGCTGGAAGGCGTCGACGGCGGTCCCGTCCTCGCGCGGGTAGAGCACGAGGTGGTAGATGTCGCCGGCCTTCAGCTGCCACTGCGCGAAGTCCATCCCCGAGTCCTTGGTCGCGGTGGAGGCTGCCTCGCAGGTCGAGTCCCAGGGCGGCGAGTCGAAGTCCATCAGCGTCGATTGCGCCCCGGCGCCTGACTCGTGGTCGGGGTCCTGGCGAGGGACGGGTCGGGGACGGGTCGAGGACGCGGAGGAGGGGAGGGAGGCAGGGGAGGAGGGGGGCGAGTTGGCGAGGGGAGGCAGGGGAGAGGCAGGGGAGGCAGGGGAGGCAGGGGAGGAGGGGGGCGAGTTGGCGAGGGGAGGCAGGGGAGGCAGGGGAGGAGGGGGGCGAGTTGGCGAGGGGAGGCAGGGGAGAGGCAGGGGAGGCAGGGGAGGCAGGGGAGGAGGGGGGCGAGTTGGTGAGGGAGGCAGGGGGGAGGCAGGGGAGGCAGGGGAGGCAGGGGAGGCAGGGGAGGAGGGGGGCGAGTTGGCGAGGGGATGCAGGGGGGGGGCAGCCCGCACCTGCCCGGCGAAGAGGTACCAGAGAGGCTTCCGGACCGCCTCCATCTCACCTTTCGGAGCGATGCAGGTCGCGCCCCATCTCTTGGCCCCCGCGGCTTCCGCCTGCGAGGAGGCAAGGGCAGGCCATTTTCGCAGGCGGGGGCGGGGGAGCATGTGCCTTGTGCGTGTGTGCTCACCCAGTAGCCGCCTTCTTCCTCGCAGCTCTCCGGCCTCATGCCGGGCGTGTAGCAGGGGCACTCGTGTGTCGCGTGGTGGTAGCAGCAACCTGCGAGGGGACAGCGTGTAGTCGGGAAGGGCGATGCAAGCAGAGTGCTGTGAGATATGGCGCTCACCCAGGTACTGGCCCGGGTTGTCCGCAATGCCGATCCGCTTCGGCTTGAACATGTCGGGTCCGGGAACGATAGCGTCCGTGTCGTCGCGGCGCACCACGGCATACAGCGAGTCGCTTCCGCCGCCCATGTCACCGCCCGCCCAACGCAGGAAGAGTGTGTGCATGCCCGTCTTCTCGACGGTGAAGGCAAAATCGAGGCCCGTCATCGTGAAGCTGCCCTGTCCGTAGATATCGTTGTACTCATCGCGGTCATCGGGCAAGACCTGCAAGTACTCACCGGTGAACGAGCGCTTGATTTTCGAGTCGTTTGTCAACATCCATTTCTCCTGATTGGTCGGTGCGTCGGCTGGAAGGCGGACGATGTGCTTTTCGTCGGAGCCAAGGCCGCTGATCGTGCCTCCCTTCGAAGGACAGAGGACCGGCTGCGGCGGGGGCGGCGGCGACGCGACTGAGTGGAGATGCAGCATAGCCAGCATCGTCAAGATGAGCAGGGGTCTGCTCAGACGAGGTAGACTCACTGCAGGGTGGCGCAGCGGTGCCGGCTCGTTCGGGATTTTTTCTTTATCTCTGCTGGCTCGTGCCGCTGCTTTGCGGTTTCATTTCTCGATCGAGGCAAGCGCCTCGCGGCCGACGTGCCGCCGACGGCTCGCTTGGCCGAGGTCGACCCCGAGGTTCAAGCTTCGCCGATGGGTGGCGGCGGGCCGCTCACGCCTCGGACGCGTGACGAGACGGCTGCCGTTCCGACATGGGTAGACTGCGCGCTTGGCTCGGCCTGCGGCCTCGCCTCGGCCTGCTGCGCCGCGCCCTTCATCCTCACCGTCGACCGTGCCGTCACGGAGAACAGCGCCGGGAAGAGCGGGCTCGGCGCCGCGCTGCTGAAGGGGCTGAGGCAGGTCTTCACGCGCCCTCACGTCATGCTGACCAGCCTCCCGTACTGGATGGTCGCCGGCGTCTACGGCTCGACCTACGCCACCGCGAACTCGATCGACGCTGTCAGCGAGCGCGCCTTCGACCCCGACGCAGAGAACAAGTTCGTCAAAGGCGCCACCAAGCTCTTTGGCGTCACGGTTGTCAACATGTGCGCCGGCGTTGCAAAGGACGCCGCCTTTGCGCGGATGTTTGGAGCGGGCGGCGCCAAGCCTCCGCCGGTCCCTCCCGTAACGTACATGCTCTTTGCCGGCCGAGACGTTCTCACCATCGCCGCGGGCTTCACGGTGCCGCCGATCCTCGCCCAGACGCTCGTCAAGTCGGGCTCGCTCGAAGAGGCGTGTGTGTGTGTGTGTGTGTGTGTGTGTGTGTGTGTGTGTGAGAGAGAGAGAGAGAGAGAGAGAGAGAGAGAGAGAGAGAGAGAGAGAGAGAGAGAGAGAGAGAGGCGCCGCCACCTCCGCCCCGCCCGCCCACCTCCATTCGCCCCCCCTCTCGCGCGCAGGCGAGCGCGGCCAACGCCTCGCAGCTGCTTTCCCCCGTCGGCATGCAGTGCCTCCTCACCCCCGTCCACCTCCTGGCGCTGAATATGTACAACGTGCCCATCGCCACGCCCGCGCAAAGGGCCAGCCAGGTGGGGCCGCTGCTGCCGTCGTCGACGCTCGCTCGGATGGGCCGCTTCGGATGCGCGTACGGCATCGGCGGCATCATGAACACGCGGCTCACCAACGCCGCGAGGGAGTGGGCGGTGAGGGCCTACGCGCCCGAGAACTGACGTTGTCGTTGTTATTATCGGTCTTGTCGAATGGAGCACTTAACGAACACATTTATCACGACGCGTTTTTGCACACACCACATTTTTTCAAGGGACACCCGGCTCTCCATCACGTCACGCCTCAACTGCTCTATGACCTCTGACGTCGTCCAGCTGGGAGTACGCTGTCGCTGGACTCGACGCCTCCTCTCGACTCCGGATCGAGGCCTTGCTGCCGCCCTCTCCGCCTCTCTTGAGGATCTGCCTGAGGATAAGGCGCGACCAGTAGAGCTGCAGCAGCAGGAAGCCGACGGCGAGGGCGCTGCCGACCGCCGCGCCGACTCGCTCGTCCGGGTCTCGAGAGGCGACGTGGTAGAGGTCGGGCAGGACCTGGGGGTGGTCGCGCCTCGGGTGGGAGGGAGAGAGGGGGAGGGTGTGTGGCGTGTCGCGTCGCCGCCTGTCCAAAGACGACGAACGGGAAGAGGGCCGTCCTCGTCAGCAGAAAGAGCGCCGCGAAGGCGACGCGGCAGGCGGCGTTGAGCTGCGCGACCCGAGGCCTATCCGTCCACTCGACGAAGTGCTTCGGGTGCAGCACGTCCACCACCTGCAGCGGGATGGACGACAGCTCGATCACGCCGCCGAAGAAGGGCACCTGTTCACGCACGGCTCTGTGAACAGCGACTTGTCGCAGCGCGCCGCCGCCGCCTTGAAAGGGGACGTAGTAGAGCAGGTAGGGCTGGAGAGCGATCACGCACGCGAGAGCCATCATCACGTGGTGCCCCACGGACGCAGCCGACCGCAGCGAGGGGAAGGCCGACATCGGAATGTCCCACAGCAGCAGCTCGCCCAGGAGCAGCGACACTAGCCAATCCGAGGTTGGAAAGTCGCCGTGAACGCGGCCCTCCGGCGTGGCGGCGAGTTTTTGCGACGCCTCGTCTGGAAAGAACCAGGCTACCGTCCCGACCCCTGCGACTATGAGCATCAGCGGGAGGCCGACAGCCTGGTGGGCCAAGAAGCCGGGCTCGCGCCGCCAGATGCCGTCCGGCAGCAGCCGCGCAAATAGGAGGGTGAAGAACGCCTGCGCCGTCGCGCACGCTAGACCCGTGCCGAAGAGGACCGATAGGTACATGTGTCTCAGGCGAGTGGCGTCAGTGCTCGTGTAGAAGCCGTGTAGAAGCAGCCACTCGAAGCCAAGCCAGCCCGGCGTCGGTAGGGGGTCGGGCCCGTCGCAAAATAATTAAATGTGGCGTGTTTAGATTCTTTAGATTTGTTTGGTTTCTTCAGCAGACTCCTCGCACAACACTGGGCACGGGACTGGCGCGCACTGGCACTACATGCTTTTCGCTGCGCATGCTCGAGCCCCCGGCGAGGGCTTGTGCTGTGAATAGCAGGCGTGGTCTCTACTCGCCAGGCCAGCCCCCGTCGGGGGCGTCGCAAAATAAGAATTCATGAACGCCCTCGCACGACACTACAAAATAATCGGATGTTATGGATGTGCGGTTACTGACTGCACTCCAAGTGCTCCAAGTTATTACTTCTTTAGATCCTTCCGCCGCGTTCGGAGGGTTGCGCCGCGCGCGATGTCTTGCCGCCCTGCGGCGGGCCCCTTCCCATCTCGTCTGGGGACCGCGGGCACTGAAAAAAAATGTTCATATTAGGACGGCAATGAATAAGGCCGGCGCCACCGCTAAGGACAAGCGAAAGCTTCGACGAGACGGTTTGGAGTGGAATGCGAACGCCGTCAAGGTTGGGGCTCTTGGGCAGCAGCTCACAGCCTATTTTTGGTCGGTTTTTGGCGCTAAAAATGCAAAATTTTCTTCGCGGGGCTCTGCCCCGCACCCCGCTGGGGCTGCCAGCCCCAGACCCCAGGCTCCACTCTCGTCGTTCTCTCCCTTGTCATTTCCTCCTCTGTCGCGTCGATCTCTTCTGCCTCGTCCTGCGGCGCCGCCGCCTGCCGGTCCCTTGTTCTCGCGGCTTCTTTCGCCTTTCGGCGCAACTCCGCCCTCCTCGCGGCGTATCCTGGCCCCTCAAGTCTATCGAGCTCCCCTCGCGCAAGGACCACATTTCTGACTCCCACTCCGATCATTTGTCTCCAGGTCATGTTGTTGCTCAGGTCCACTCTCTCTTCGAACACTCGTGCCTCCCCGTCTTTGTAGCCTGGCGTTTGTGCCCCGTTTGTGCCGCGTCCCATGCCCCCGAGTTCATTTTATACAACACTCGTGCCTCTACGGATGATGCCGGCGCCAGTCCCGTGCCCAGTGTGTAGGTAGGTAGTAAGGTGAAGAACAGCCAGGCTCGGACTGGACACCAACGCGGTATGGGTGGACGCTGGACAGATGATGACGACACGCACGAGCGACACACAGACACAAACAAGCTCACAAGACACACAACCAGCTGGCTGCCACACACCCTGAGTCGGCGTACACATAACTCAGGGCCACATCCTCCCTGTCGCCCCCCCCAGCACTCCACGGTGCCAAGGGCACAAACAAGGGCACAACTCAAACAACAGACGACAGGAAGTGACATGTGAGGCTAGAGCAGCTTGCTCCACCTCTAGCAATCTCACCGGCCTGCGAGGCACGGACAGTGTGTGACTTAAATAAAATAAATAGAGCAGTCATCTCCAGGGAGAGATGGGCGACGCACACGAACACAGAGGGACAGTGCGCACCCCGCCCCGCTCGCAGGGCGTGCATCACACAGGTGGACTGTGTGACTCCTCGGGTTTCTGGGACTCAGAGGTGTGCTAGTCGCTATTCTCCGCAAGTGTGTGACTTGGGCGGCAAAATTCTTCTAGAAAATTCTCACCTAGCGCCAGCAATCGCTCCGTTCCGCTCCGTCCCGTGATTGCTGCTGTCATGTGCGCCGTGAAGGGCTACGAGGCTGTCGCTGACGTCCATGACGTCCGCCGCAGCCGTTGGTTACGGCTGCGATCGGCGCGAGTGGTGTGGTTCGTTGCAGGCGCGGCTGCCGTCTCTGCCTACCAACTCGCGGTGCGCGGCGGCACGGCTGGCGTCTCAGCTCCGGCGTTGGCCTCAGCTCCGGCGGTGTCGCGGGATGAGCTCTACTGCGCGAGCAAGTCGCCGGTGGCCGCCGCCTTTTGCGCTCAGGACCTCGCGCGCGCGCGAGCTGACATCACCGCACTTATGAGTGAGGCGCGGCAACGGTGCAGTAGAGGCAACGGCAGCTCGATACTTGGCCCGTCCGCCCAGTGGTCGCAGTTTGCGCAATCGCTCCGCGTCAAGATATGGAGCTCGTACAGCCCGTTCATGCCGCAGCGCGACTCGAAGCTTGAGAACCGCAACGGGTACGCTCTCGCCTTTCCCGAAGCGGAGATCAGCATCACCGACTACCTCCACGAGCTGCCAGCGGAGGAGAAGGCGCGCGGGCACGTAGCATGTGCACACAGTGCACACAGCACAGCGAGAACGAGGAGAGAAAGAGAGAGAAGCGGACTCGTGCTCGGTTCCGATCGTGTGCGGAGGAGGAGGCGATCCTTTCGCGCATCAATCGCACCTTCCCCCCGCCCCCCAGCCACTCTTCTCTCCCCCGGCCACTCTTCTCTGAACCTTCTCGAAACCTTCCTGCAGGCGAGCCACCCGCCGGTGTCGGTCGAGCACTGCGAGGTGGGCGACGAGGACGGCGAGAGCGTCTGGACCTTTGAGCGGGTCGGGCCCTTCCACAGCCGCGGCGCCAGCTGGCACTCTGCCGGCTGGAGGGATGCAGGCCGCTTCGGCGCCGCCCTCGCCGAGCCGACAGCAGGGCCGCTCTCCGTGAGCGCGTACGGCTTGCGACCCTAGATGCGGAACACGGAGGCCGTGCACTCGATACCACACACACACACACACTCGGCTACACTCGAGCTGTCTTCGCTGAATTCGATCACCCTCGCGCTCGGCCTCGGCGGCGGCGGCGTCGCTCGCTCGCTCGCTCGCTCGCTCGCTAGTGCATCGTACCCGTCCTCATCCAGCACCCTATAGCGTGAGCCCTTCAGCGCAGCCGCCCTAGCGCCGGTGGAAGCACGACGCAGGCTCATCGATGTCAATGTAGCTCAGGCTTCCGCCCCGTCGCGGCGGACGGGACACCGATCGGCCTGCCGCCCGTGCACATCCACCACATGCACGTCACCTCCTCCCAGTCGCTCGCGCGACAGTGGCTGCGCCGGAGCAGCGACGGTTTCGGACTGTACGCCGTCGAGTGACCTGCACGGCACACATCCCAGGGCACGTCCTAGACATGTACGAGACATGCCCCATAGCTACGCCGTCGAGTTCGACCTGCACGGCGACCGGCAGTGCGCCTCCTCGAGCGGCGGGATGAACTGCACGGTGCGCGCCTTCCCCGCCGGGTACGGCATGCACATCACGGACCCGATGGAGACCTTCTTCGACCTCGCCGACGTGCGGCCCGCTGGCTCGCCCCTAGATGCCCTAGATGCGGAGCGCACATCGGTGTGTCTTCCAGCCAGCGCTCGAGAGGGCACGGGTTCCCAGCCCTCAGCGCCCTCTGTCTTGATGCGCCAGGCTCGCCGCCGCTGACCTTCTACGCCGAGCACGCGTACCGCTGGACCCGCGCTCCGCGCCGGAGGGTGGGCAAGCTGCTCACGATGATCAGCACGGGCACCTTCAAGCCGCACGACGACTACCTGCGGTGGAATCGGTACGCACCAATTCATTGCAAGTCATCTCCTTAGGCACCTTCAAGCCGCACGACGACTACTTGCTCCACTTCGACGCCGCCCGCCCGAGCGAGTATCTCTATTGGCAGGAGGGGCGCTGGCCCGCGAACGTGTCGCTCGTCCACCTCTACTGGCGCGCACGCACCGCAGACACGCCCACGACACGTCCACGACACGTCAGAGACGAGTCCCACCAGGCACACCCACAACCCACCAGGCACACCCACAACCCACCAGGCACACGCACATGCCACCGGGCACACGCACATGCCACCAGGCACACGCACCACGCGTATGTGGACGACCTGTGGGCCGTCTCTGCGGGTGCCGCCTCGCTGCGGCTGCGGCAGCTCTTTGGAGGCATGTTTTCCAACCTCACCGCCTTGGGGCTCGACGTGCGCAGCGCGCAGCGCCTCATCCTCGCGCAGGTAGGGGCCCCCTCCCCCACTCCATCCCCATGCGTGGACAGCACTCTGACCCGCTTGCGCCCGTGCCCTCGTCCGCCGCGCTCACTCCACGCCGCCACAACCTCGCGCAGCTGTCTCGCGCCCAGAGCGAGTGCGTCGCGTGCGCCTCGCCGCCGCTCCTCCGCTGCAGCCTCGACCCGGACCGCTGGGAGGCGGTGCTCGATCGGCGCGAGGAGAGCGCCGAGCGAGAGGCGTTCGCGCCAAAGCGACGCGCTTGCACCGCCGTTAGGTCGAGGGAGACGCCGCTCGCTCGCACTACTCCCGCTACCGCGCGCCGCATTGCCCCGAGTGGGACGTCGTGGCGGGCGAGCCGTTCACGCTGCTCGCCTTCCACAAGCTGCAGCCTCAAGGGGCCCTGCAGGCGAGAGGCGTCTCGCAGCACTACTGGATGCACAGCGCTCTCTACGGTCTCTACGTCGGCAAGGACGCCGCGCAGCCCATCCCGCACGGCATGTACTACGAGGACCTCATGCTCGGCGGCTCGTCGCACCCGCTCGACAAGCCGGAGAGGGGCGGCAAGCAGGCCGGCTGGTGGAAGCCGACGTGGGGCGGCAAGCATTACTGACACTGCCTGTGAAAAAGCAGGTTGCCTGTTAGAGAACAGAGTCAGGCAGCGTGATACGTGTATACGATAGTAGTAGTACGTGACTCTCTCTCACAATTACAACTCTCAAGGCGTTCTCGGTTCACACAGAGATTCCGCGTTTCCGGCCCACAGAGTTGTCTGCTTGTGCTTCTCTCGTGGCTGCATTTGTCCATGCATTTGTCTTTTGTCGTGCTTCGCCCCCTTCTTCGCCTTCCAAAACACAACGAAAACCGTTCCATCGGTCTCTGCAGGAGCCCCCCCCCCCCCCCTTAGATAATTCATTTAAAGCGATTGCATCCATCATCCATGGCGGATTGGGAGATAAATCTGATGCCGTGCGTGGTCAGAGTTTGCGGCACGCGCGGCTCTTTGTAGATTATACTGTGTCCCAACAAGGTGAAAAAAAAGCCGAATCCTCCCTGTACCCTGACCCTGTCCAACCGGGACGGGCACGTGCTCGGGGTGTCGCCCGGGGGAGCGAGACCGAGAGGAGATTTTGCTGCATGTCGTGTACCTTTTCTTCGAGGCGCCCATCTCACGAATGTATTCTCGCACACCGCGGCCGGAGATCGGTGCGAATCTCTCGTCAGCCCACGGCCACGCATGCCTCCGTCTGCGGCGTCGGTGAGAGAAAGGCCCGAAGCGAGAGAAGGTCAGACGACCAGCGGCAGGAGCGTCAAGCTGCAAGCCCTCCCCCCTTCCCCTCCCCTCCCGCGCCGGCTCACTTGGCCGCGCTGCCCCATCGCCTTTCGATCAGCCGGTAGAGGGCGCGCATCCCCATCGCCTCGCCACCCTCGGGCCTGCCCGGCTTGGAGCCCGTGTTGTACGCCATCATGTCCAGGTGGAGCCACGGAGGAGGCTGCGCCGTCTCCTCCGCCGCCTCGCCCGGGCCGCCGTCGGCTCCGTCCTCCGGCGCCTCGACAAACTCGTTCAGGTAGAGGGCGGCGGTGATGGCGCCGCCGTACGGACCCGCACCGATGTTCTTCAGGTCGGCCACCTTGGAGTCGATCTGCTCGCGGTAGCCGGGCCACAGGGGCAGCCGCCACACCTGGTCTTGCTCGGAGGCGGAGGCGGCCACGAGCTGCTCGGCGACGTCGACCCCCGCGTCGTTGCAGAAGAGGGCGGGCACGTCGGTGCCGAGGGCCACCCGCCCCGCGCCGGTGAGCGTCGCGCAGTCGACCACGAGCTCCGGCTGCTCGGCGCACGCCTGTCTCCACGGCCAGCCGTGTGAAGAGGCGCCTCTGAGGGCGGGGGGTGCCTGCTGCTCGGCGCACGCCTCCACGAGTGCGTCAGCGAACACGAGCCTCCCCTCGGCGTCTGTGTTGCCGATCTCGGTGGTCTTGCCGTTGCGCGCGACGAGCACGTCGCCCGGCCGGAAGGCGTCGCCGGAGATCGAGTTCTCGACGGCAGCGACGAGGACGCGCAGTCGGACAGGCAGCTTGGCGCGCATCACCATACTCGCCAAGCCGAGGACGTGCGCGGCGCCTCCCATGTCCTTCTTCATCGTGAGCATCGCACTCGCCGGCTTGATGTCGAGCCCGCCCGTATCAAAGCAGACGCCCTTCCCGACGAGCGTCACCTTCGGCGCGCCCTCCTCGCCCCAGGTCAGGTCGATGAGCCGCGGCTGCCTCGCGTCGGCCGCCGCGCGGCCCACGGCGTGGATCTGCGGGTAGCCCTGCAGGAGCGCCTCGCCCTCGACGGTGGAGACGCTCGCACCGCACGCGGCGGCGAGCGAGCGCGTGGCGGACTCCAGCTCCGCGGGGCCCATGTCGGCGGCGGGCGCGTTGATCAGGTCACGGCAGAGGAACGTCCCGCTCAGCGCCGTCGCCGTGTCGGTCGCGTCGCACGCGCCGGGCACCACCAAGCTCGCGAACTTGGGGGGCGCGCCCTCGTTGCGCTTGCGCGTGAGCGAGCCCTTGCACGCATCGAACGAGTAGCACCCGAGTCCCCACGACAGGGCGGCGGTCGGCGGCAGAGGCAGCGAGGACTCGAGCGCGTAGGTGGTGTCGGTGGGCAGCCGCGAGGGCAGCGACGAGAAGGCGAAGAGCGACGATGCATTCTTCGTCAGGAAGGCCCACCTAGCAGTGACTAGCGACTCGTCAGCGAAGGCGTTGGCCAGAAGGCTTCCTGGGCGCGAGGCGCCTCTTCTCCGGCAGCAGCACGAGCTTATCGTCCTTGAAGGTGGAGAGGCCCGCCGCGGCGAGATATGCCTGCCGCTCGTCGGACTGCGCGGCGAGCCAGTCGGCATACTCCTCCTGTTGCAGCACGAGCACCGGCACCGCCGGCGTCTCCGCCGGAGGAGGCTCGCTCAGGAGGTGCTGCTTCCACCGCTCCGCACTCGGAAACGCGCCGCCCACCTGCATGTGAATGCTCGCGCGGCCGCGAGGCCGCTTCAAAGCGAAGCAGGAGCCGTGGGGCAGCAGTACCGCGAAGGCGACGGCGCGGACCCGGGTGGAGAGCATGTGTGTGTTGATGCACGTTCGTCGCGGTGGCAACTCAGCTGGGTTTCCGCGGCGCGTGGAAAAAGATTTTAACTGCGCTCCCGTTGGCTTGAGCACTTGAGCACTGGATAGGGTCGGTTCCGCATGGTACGGGACCCCTCGATCGTCTCGCCCTCCCTCACGTCATAACAAACACGGTACAGGATCGAGGTGCACGCTGCCGTTGGCCAACATATGCCGAGAGGAGGGCGGAGTTACGCAGAGAGGCGAGAGAAGCAGCGAGAGCAAGGGATCGGCAGACGGCAGCGGCGTCTCATCAGAACGAGGCCGAGGAGAGCGATGAGTCAGAGGATGAATGAATGAAACAGCAGGAGAGAGAATAACGAGGACGAGAGTGGGACGACCACGTGGCATGAAGGTCGCTGCGAGAATTGGCGAGAAACTGCGAACAGAGATAGGAAGAGGGTAGACGGAAGACGCCCGAGGGTGGGCGAAAACTAGCACCGCACTGTGTGGTGGCGGCGTGCCGTCCTCCCATCCCTCCCCTAGTCCCTCCCTTGGGTGCACTTGGAGCACTTGGAGTGCAGTCATCAACCTCACATCCAGGGCCGGGGAGCTGAGGAGCGCACCCAGCGGGCCGGATGATCGGGATCGGGTTACGGGCTAGAGAGCCCTAGCCCGGGGGTGCGCGTTCGCAGGGAAAGGGCCGTAAAGTAAACACGGGTCTCCGAGGGTTAGTCCGCGCTCCAGGTTTCCCCTAGCAGCGGAGCGCCCCCTCTCCTCGGAGCTAATAAACACCAGACACGCACACGACGTACATCCTCACTCGACGTCACCCCTCGGGGCTCTCTGTTCGGCCTCCCCCCCTCGGTCCGGAGAGGCCCTCCTATCCTCTCGGTCCTCCCCCCACTCGCTTTCCGCTGGTTGGGCAACGGATGCGGGGCCCGGCTCCCCCTCCTAGCCTTTTTCGGCCGCGGCCCCGCCGCCGTCTCGCCCTCTCTGCCTGCTCCTGTTGACTCCGCCTCCGGTGATCCCATGCCCGACTCCTCGGGCGAGGGCGGCGGCATTGGACCGCCACGCCGCCCCTCCCCGGGAGGTGGGGCCAGCTCTCTTCGGTCGAGGACTCGCGCCCGCCCCCGCGGTCTCTCTATCGTCCGGGTTGTCTGTTTTCTTTCTTTCTTTAGGTGGGTACCCTGCCCATCCCTCGTTTGGTTTTCTGTTTTCTTTATTTATTTATTTACAAAAATCGGCCGTCCCTGGGATCTCCGTGATCTCGCGCCGTGCGAAACTACGGAAAACCGTGAGGGACGGGAGCCACAGTCAGTGCCGAGAGGTGCCGACTGTGGAGTTCATGAGTTATCTGGCGAGGCTCGAGAAGCTCAAAAGCCTGCTCGACAACGGCACGCTGACTAGGGACGAGTTCGAGGCGCTTAAGCAGAAGGAGATGCAGACTGTCGACGCCGACCGTGGTTCTGACCGTGCATCAGACGGTGGCTCGGAACGCTCAGTCTCACCCGCCATTGGGGAACCTATTCTTGTCACGGCATCTGACGCAGTCACGCCCGGCGCGCCCGCCGGATCGAGCGCACTGACGCTCGCGGAGATGAGCGAGGTCTTCAGGAAAGAGCTCGGTGTCGCGGGCACCAACTTGGTTGAGCTTGTGCAGGCGAGCTGTGCCCGGCTCGGTGTTTCAGCCGAGGGGAAGAGCCTCGCTGAGCAGGCGAACGAGTGCTGGCGGGTCCTGCAGGCGCCCACCGGCGCATCTCCTCCAGCGAGTCGCGCATCGGGATCGGCATTTTGGTGGACTCCATCATCGTGGCGGTTGACCATGCGGTTGACACGATTGACACGCTTGAAGGCACCGCGTCTAAAGGCGGAATGAACACCACAGATCTCGCCGCTGCCGCCGACCTGCAGCATCGCATTTCTGAGAGGATCTCGCGAGCGCGAATGGCCACCCAGTCGACGCGTGACGAGCAATCAACACGCCAAGTTGTGAAATCAGATGGCGCAGCAAAAGCCTCCCCTCCGCCTCTTCGCCCCACCATCGCCGCTCCTGCTACGGTGTCCAATGAAAACGAACCGCACTCCATCTGCCCCGTTCGTGGCGACGCCTGCAATGATGCAGTATCCGCCTGCCGCGCTTGTTTGCGTTGGCCCTATTCACTAGGTCCTAGCCCTGAGCAGGACGATTGGATCCTCGAGCTGGCGTCGGTGCTCGCACTCATCGCGTTAATAGTGGTGCTAGCAGTGTTGATTCCCCTAATCCTCACTTCCTGTGATACGGTGAAATCAATGTCACGGGCGAATTCTTGCCACAGGACTAAGCCTTACCAAGACGATCCATGCTCGGGACCCTACGCCTCCCGTCATGCTTGTTTAAATACTAAAAAGTGGAAGCTGCTAGCTTCCACTTAATAGTCAAGTTAAACAACTTTCTCCATACAAGAAGAGAGAGAGAGAGAGAGAGAGAGAGAGAGAGAGAGAGAGAGAGTACGTACAAGAAAGATCTCTCACATATGAGGCCGACTCGCTGATCGAGGATCAAGAGCGAACACAAAATAACCCATCCCGACTGACGGTACGGCGAGCTGTTTTCTCGCTACAGGGTAGCGGTACGGGGCGCCGGAGAGCCTAGCGGTATCGGTACGGCGCGCTCGCTGTGACACAGACCAGCGCATAGCGCCAAAGCACGTATTCTTGTCAATAACAAGGCTGTGAATCCCCAGGGCCTCCAGGGCTCGCACCTCAACCTCTCACAGGCCAGCACAAGCCTGTGAAGCGGTGCGCGGTACGGCCACTTTCCTGTACCGCGCCCGCTGGGCCTACACAATGGCCGGCGTAGGGTCCCGATGGTGTGTGCGTAGGGTCCCGGTACACACAACGGCCGCCGCCGCGAGGCCACTAGCTCGCCAGCCTTCGCGCAGCCTGCACCTGCTCTTCGGCGCGTGCGGCATCCCGCACCCGAGCAAGGCGGCCAAGGGCGGCGAGGACGCCTTCTTCTGCGATGAGGCCAAAGGCACGTTTGGAGTTGCGGACGGCGTGGGCGGCTCCGCGAGCGCCTTCGTCGACCCGGGCGAGTTCTCCCGTGCGCTGCTTCGCTCCTGCGACGAGCGGCTCGACGGCTCGTGCGAGGCGCTTCGGGCCGTCCTCGCAGGGACGGCGCAGCGGCTGCGTGAGGCGCCGGTGGCGGGGTCTTCGACGCTGCTGGTCGGTCAGCTTGAGCCGGAGGGCGCGACGCTGCGCCTCCTCAACATCGGCGACTGCGGCGCGATGCTGCTGCGGCCTGCGGCGCGCCGCTTCCGCGCGGGCGGGACGGTCGCCTGGCCTCGCGTGGTGCTGCGGACGACGGCAGGAGCAGACGCGCACCTCCAGGACCAGGCTCCTCTTCACACCTCTGCGGTGGCACAGGTGCTGCGGACGGCGGAGCAGACGCACTACTTCAACTGCCCGTACCAGCTCGACGGCGAGATGGAGCAGGCGGCTGGCGCAGAAGACAAATCGAGATCGGCCGAGATCGGCCGAGATCGGCCGAGATTGGTCGAGGTCACGCTCGAGATCACTCGCGATCAGGCGGCTGACGCGGACGAGGTACGCGCGACGGCGCGCGTAGGTGCCCCCCACCGCGGCGTGCGACCAACGGCGTGAAGAGCGTCTCTTCACGGTCGGCACGCGCGTGAACAGGCGACGTGCTGCTCGTCGCGACGGACGGCGTGTTCTTGACTCAAGCTCTCTCGGCGCGCGGCTGTGGAACAG